AGATGGAGCCAAAGAAAGGAACATGCAGAAAACGCAAGTCTCAACAGCCACATGGGGCCTCTCCAGAGTGCTGCAGGGAGTCTCTCTTCTCCAGGCCAAGACTCCGACAGGAAGGAGTCTATGTGATAAATGGGGTTTTGGTTTAGGATGCCCTGAGTCAGAACCTAGGAAGCCTCAGGCCACTGCAATGGGCCTGGTATAGTGGGCTTCGCCTCTCAGAGCCTTCAAGATCATTTTATTTTGATTTGAGAAAGTCCATGAGCCAGCCCAGAACAAGGGAAGACTTCTCAAATATTATCTCTGTTTCATCTCTTAAAATTAGCAAAAATACCTAAATAACCAATTAATCTAATTATGGGTGACAAATTTGCCCACAGATACAAATATTAACAAAATACATGAGTATTTATACTATTACTGTTGAAAACAACTAATGATTCTATGTATTAATTAATGTACAGTACAATTACTATTAATGAAACATTTGATCCTTCAACACTACAGTGACTAAGTACCTATCTAATGTGATTAGCACTTATAGTTGTAATGCATAAATAGCCAATTAACTTAATTATGCTTAATAAAGAAAGAGCAAATAATTACTCCCATTACACCTAGTTCCAGTTGGAGTACATTTATGAAGTTGGATGGAACTTGAAGATGCATGAAAATTGCTTGCATAAATTACCACAGCAATCAAATTTCTGGTGCAAATTGGCTCCATTCCCTTTTGGGGACTGTGTTCCCAGGTTATTTGCTCCCTTCAAATCGTGGGTCCTTGAGGGAGGAGTATAATCACTGCCACCTCAGGGGGCCACCCGCCTCTTGGGCAGTCTCTGCAAGCCAGGGGTCTGCAGACTACAGGGAACACCAAGCAGCCCCACCCTTGAGAAACATCTGGCCAGATCTCACACACACACATACACACACCCACATTCTCCTCAGGAAACAAGAATCCCCGCCTTGGAGAGCAAAGATGGATACCTTTACCACAGGAATTTCCTGCAGGTAACAGCTTCCTTTTGAGATAGAGACATCAGAGCACAGAGCTGCAGGTCCCCCGTGATGGCAGCAGAACCCCTCCCTCATCCCAAGCCAGGAAAAGCTAAACCATGTCTCTGAGCTAGTTTCTTTGCATCTTAGTTTAGGGAAAACATGCTTTGCTCAAGGGCAGTTATTAAAACAACAGACACGGTGACACACAGATGCTACAGAGAGGGCTTGACCATAGCAGGTTCTGAGCCCATTCACTTCCTTCTGCTCTCAGCGCCCTGCAATGGGAGCAATGATCAGGGTCCCACTGGGGCCCATGTGTTAAAGGTTCTTCCCAGTGCTGACAAGAGGGGACCAAATGTGGGGTCTCGGCAGGGGTCCTGAGGCCAGTGTAGGTTTGTAGGGCCTTGGTTTCTTCTTTTGTCTTGGTTCCCAGTTTGAGAATGTCAGGGGTTACTCTGACACACTCCCACTGTGCTGAGCCTCCTTCCTCAGGAGTGCAAAGCTGCCAACACTGGAGCTGAGCTGCCCAACACTGGATGTGGAGTTCCTGAACCATGAGCCGAAATAAAGTATCTCTTTATGTCACAGGTAGCTCATGTCAGGTATTTTCTTACTGATGCAAAGCTAACACAGGCCCTTTCAAAAATCTACCAAGGAGGAATCAACTTTGATTTTGCAGACTTCCCAGGGATTCTGGCCTCAGTATCCAAAGAGCCCTGACTACTTCTCCAGGACCAATTCAGCTGCTTGGATGACCCTTCTGAATAAGTGTTCTTTTTAAAGATAGCTCTCAATACATAATTCAGGCTGGCCCTGAACTCACTTTGTAGCCCAGGCTGGCCTTGAACTTACAGTGATCCACTTGCCTCAGCCTCCTGGATACTGGGGTTACAGGCATGTGCCACCACACTTACCTCTAAATCACTCTTTTAAATGATGCTTTGACACCCTGAGGTCTTCTAAACACAAAGGGTTATGGAGAGTGCTAGAAATGAGACTCAAAGAGCTAATTCCTAGCACTAGAAATGACTGACCTGAGAGAAACGTTTTGCTATGCAGACCAACCAACCCTAGTCTGTGTCTCCATCTGTAGCCTCTGTCAGGCTCCTGACATTGGGATGTTCTCTCTCTGTCATAAATCACCCCAAGAACAGATACCAGAAAAAAAGGAACCCCCCCCCACAGCCTGCTGAAATTGTTCCAACTGTGCAATTCCATGTAACCTGGCTGCATACCCTGCCTCCCTTCTGTCCACCAGCACCATAACAAAACTCTTGCCCATGTCTTCTCCTCCCTCCAGCCTGCACAGAGCTCTGCCCACCCACCCCTGTCAGGTATGTACTGTCTGAGACTGTGACCACTGTGTTTTCAGTGGTAGTTATTTCCCTAACTATTGTCATTGCTATCTGGATGCAAACAGAATCCAAGACACACAGTAAGATACCTTCTTGGTCTCCATCTTGTTCTGCGCACCAATGGATAGATATATCATGACTACTCAATTTCCCATCTCCAGAGCTAATACTGTGATTATTTAATATATATCTGCTGGATGAATCCATCAGCTAATGAATGAACAAACCGAGGAATTTCAGAGGGAGGAATCAGTGGCCAGGCTTGGAAATGATGGGCACGTGGATACTTCAAGAAGGGTGAATTAGGGGCTCCATTGGAGAGGGAGCTCTATAGGTCTCTAGAGACTGTCTCTCCATTCAGCTGTAACCATCCTGAAGGCAGCTTTGCACCTATCTGGTAGTGACTCAGTCCAGGCAACTAGGATTAAGTCCTCTTCCAGTGTAAGCTGCATTGCTAGGCAGGCTCTGAACCACTGGGGGCCCTGAGTTAGGATGCATCACCTCTATGAATGCCAGGGCGCACTATTCCCTGTACATTTCTGCCACAGAAAGCCTGATGACACTTATAGATGAATCCCCCAGCTCAAAGCCTGGCATTCAGTAAAGATTCACTAAGTATGACTTCATGGTGAAAGTGAAAGATGGAACCATATTTTACAGGTAGCAAACAGAAGGTAGAAGGAAAGTTCCACAGTGTTAATAATTTGCTATAGTTGCATTGCTGGTGAGTTTTATTTTGCTGTGCTTTTTTAAAATTTGACATGGCTGCTCACTATGCTGCCCCAGCTGGGTTGAATTCATAGGGTCAAGCAATTTTCCTGCCTGAGTCTCCTGAGTAGCCAAGAATTCAGGCTCACTACTGCAACCAGCTGCTAAAGAATTTTAGAACATCCAAGTTTTGCTCACGATAAAGCAAGGTCATGAAGCATGCAAATCCTACTCTGTTTTTCACTGGTCACAGCAAAATGATGACAGGAGTGTCTTTAGAAAACTGTGCACTATGGTAGAAGATACACATCCTGTGTATCCTGACCCAGTGAGTGCAGCCAACGTGGAGTCTGAGACTGAGCCCAAAGGGCCTGTCACTCACTAGGACACTGTAAAGCCAGCTCAGGGGGCAGCATTGGCTGGTTTCTGGGTGCAAGTGGCAGTGTTTCCTGGGTGGGGCTTTCCTGTGGATGGAACAGTGGAATGGGTGGAGCCTGGCTACTCTGCCACAGCCCTGCGGAGAGCCAGGCAACAGTAGCAACATGGTGTCCACATGTTCTGGCCAGCACAGCCAGGATGTGGAAAGCCCACCATCACCAGGTGTTGGCTGTGCATAGGGACCCCGTTATCTGCAAGATAGTCTGCTCTTCATCCTACAGTGCTACCTCCTTTTAATTGTTACTACCACTACAAAAAAATGAAACTGAAATCATAAAGTCAAGTACCTCACCCAGAACCACCCGCCACACACCCCAGGCTGGAAAGTGGGAGCACTGGGATTTAACCCATGCCTCTTTCCCTCTGAGACTGTTTCACTACGAGTTTTCTCGCCCAGGGGCAAGGCTAGGTGTGGAGAGAGTGGAACTGTGGCTGGAGCTAAGAAGGAGGGAGAGGGCCGGACTTCCCCTTCCTGTCCACCTGTGGTGCATCATGAGCTTTCAGGGAAGCCATATTTACAAACAAAAGTCCTGAGAGGGAGAATCTGGGTTTGGAGCCAGGTGTCTGCTCAGCAGACAAGATCCTGAGCGCCCTGCACATGCTTCTTGAAATGGGCAAGGGACCTGAGACTGGGGGTTAAGTGCCAACAGAGTTGACATCAAGAGAGAATGTGTGGGACTGCATGGGAGCAGGGACAACAGAGAGGAGCCAGGAGCTGTGAAGCAAACATCAGGGCTGGGTCAAAAAGGAGGAGAAGGAATGGGGGAGGCAGACAGCAGGGGAGAAGGATGGGATGGGGAGGGAGGGTAAAGGAGGAGAAGGACAAGGAGGAGGAGAGGAGGATGAGAAAGGGGAGCACATCTAGGGCAGAGAGCAAGACAGCCCCTGGATAGGGACTGACCTGAAGCCATTATCTTACAGATAGGGAAAAACTGAGAACCAGCATGCCTAGAGACTGAACTCATGACCACGCACTTGCAAAGCAGGCACTTATGCCACTGAGCTAAATCCCCAGCCCTAGAGGAGACAGTGTCTTCCAATTCTCACCTCAGCATGCCATACCCTCGCAAGGTTTCATGCTTCTGTGACACCACACCCAGACAGATTCTATGCCCCAAGGGGCCCATGTTCCACCTCCACCACTGACCCTCCTGAGGGCTCCCTGTCCTAGGGAACAATGAGCCTGCTCAGCAGGGGTCCCTGCCACCCTGCTCCTAGATTCCCTCTCTGCCTCCTGCCATGTGCTTCTCTCAAGTCCAGTCCTCTTCTGTCTTAGCTGACTATCCCTGCACTAGACAGAAGTCTTCTAGAAGGACAGAGAATGGCCCTCTAGCTCCAGCTCCTGCCCAGGAGTAGGGGACTGATAGTTCAGTAGCTGTTCTTTTCAGTATCTTGATAAGATTGCAGGATTCTGGTGCCAGTTGTGAACAGCTCCTTGGTCACTGACTGAATCAGAAGCAGCAGCATGCAATGGAAAAGGATTTAAAGGCAGCAATTAATTACCTGCAGCCCTGGAGATCCCAGGAGTCCTGGTGCACCCACTTCACCTTTCTTCCCCTGAGGGCAAGAGAAGTCAAAATCAATAGGCAGGCAGGCTTAACCCAGAACCAGTTTAATTATAATGCATTTTGGGGGAAATCTCCATCTGTATGGCTCAGACTTTCTGAGTAACAAGAACTGTAGCCAGGAAAGAGCACCCTACAGAGAAAAGAGGTGCAGGGTCAGGGCACTGGGCTCAGGCTTCTGTGTCAGAGAAACTTAGTTTTGGGACCCAGCCCTGTGGTCTCGCCCTGCAAGGAGCACATGGCCCTGAATTCAAAAGGCAAGAGAAGGCTGATTTCAGCTTTTGCTTATTCCTCACCCTCTGCCATGGAGTCCCTTTCCTATCCTGCTAGATGTGGACTGATCTTTCTAGAAGCATTTTGAGCACCTCTCCCTCATTCTTTGACTCTATCTCTGTCTCTGTTTCTCTCTCTTGCTCTTTCAATCTGTCTCTGTCTCTGTCTTACACACACACACACACACACACACACACACACACACACAATACTTTTTCTCCTGTTTTTCATATACTGTAACAGCTACCTAATCTGTTAATAAATCTTGCTATACACAATCCTGTCACTTGCTGAGTCCTGTATTAGGGCAGAGCTGCACGCTCTTGCACAGCCATATTCTCTGTCCCAAACCTGAGACACGCTGCATTTCGACAGCCCCATCAGGGACAGAAAGGTCACCAAAGCCATTTCCAACCATCTCTGGTTAGAATCTGTATTACATGTGCACCTTCTTCACTGGGGTGGTTTTGGGGGCGACCACACACATTAGACTGCAGAGTCCATCTCTAAACAGAAGTGCACACTGCTCACTTACTTTATGCAAAGAGGTAACCAGGTGCACAGAGATGGTACAGATAACAGGGATATCTCCATGGAAGATGAACTAATTTGTTTTTTCCTGATTTACTGACAGCACTGCAATGAGAAGTTATAAGTGAAAAAAAAAAAAAAAAAAACTTTACATAAGACCCATGTTTTTCCGGTTTTGTGATAAACTTTCCAATTCTTCCCAAACTATCCCACTAATGTACCTTGCAAGCAGACCCAGTGTGGCGGATGTTCCTAGGCCCAGGGGCAGGTGTGGAAACCAAGGCACACACATTATCCAGCAGGGAAGTGAGTCAGGATCCCCCTGGTTCTACCTCCTACTGAATGCCAAGCTTATGCTTCCTATAATTTCCACAAAATAGCTTTTCATGTACTTGTAAGCTTATAGAAACTCAGAGATGTAAGCTCCTCTCTCAACAACTTCTCCTGGCCTCTAGCTGGTCCTCTTTACTCCCAGCTCAACCTCAAACACACACACAGAGCCCTTCCATGCATCTCCCTGGGCTGAGCCCAGCTAGCCCAGTACTCACCCTTTAATTCCTGTCTTCCTTCCTCCTATGGCTCCCTTCTTTCCCCGTCCCTCCTCTCTTACCTTACTTCTTGTACTCTCCTCCCTTCTTTCCTCTTCCTATCCTTTCCTCTTTCCATCCCTCCTTTCCCTCCTTTTATCTTCCTCCTATATTTTGCATGAACACTCCGTACACACTGAGTCCAGGAAACAATCTACTTCAGCATACCCACAACCATCTCCCAAGGGCAGTGGATGGATGGAATCTTAGGTACAAAATATCCAACACTCAAAGCTAAGGGAGAAAAGGTTTATCTGGCTCAAGTTTATAGAAATTTCAGTCCTTAATCACCTTGTCTCAAAGCAGGATAGTCTGCCACAGGGCCGTCATAGGGGAGAACAGTTCATGGGACCCTCAAGATAGCAAAAGCAGCATTGTATCCTGTCCACCAGGATTAGGATTAGGGTGCTGCCAATCCAATCAGTGGACTGATCCAGCAATCATCCATCCTTAATCCAAGCATTCTTAATCCTAGCATTTTACCATGAATCAGTCACACTCTAGATTCAGTCACCTCCAAAAAAAGCCCCATCTAAAACTGCATGAGGCTTTGGGGGAACATCTAGACACAAACATAACACAAAGTATAAATGTCTTTGCTCTATTTATTCTCCACCCACCACCATAATGACAGCCCATTCTCCACAGAAAGTGTCCTTAAGGAATCTGTCTGTCTGTCTGCCTCAAATTCGTCTTCTGAGTGCTTCATTAGGAACACATCAGGGCTGCGTAGAAGTGAAGCTACATTGAGTACCAAAGGAGATGTACTAAAAGATGAGGGATGGTGGAAGCTATAACTGCACCTGTTTCTCCTATATATTCACCCACACAGTTAACCTACTGTGTGTCAGGCCTGGAGACACTGGCAGGACACAACCATGGGCTCTGCCCATACAGGCATCAGGGTTTCCCAGGGGAGGCAGAGGTGAGCCTGTGTTATAATGACACATCCCATGCACACTGTCCTGGAAGAGTATGCAAAGGATGCTGGGCGCTCTCAGGCCCACTAGCAGGGCTGGAAGTTTGCACAGTGGAAGAGGTATGGAGCAAAGCTTGGCAAAGAGGAAGAGATGACCTATGGGATAAACTGGGCACATGGAAGAGGACAGGCAGAAGGTGCTCAGAGGCAGATGACAGCAGGACATGGGCACAAAGTTTAGACAATTGGGGCCTTAGACTAGAGCTGGGTATGAAAGGCTTGCAGGAATCAGGAAGAACCTCAATGCCATGGACCAAGGGAGCCACCCAATGGGTCCAAGATTCTGAAAAACCCTCAGCCTAGCCTTTTTGAGTTGGCTCAGGAAGCAGCAGGAAGGAGAATGGAGAATGACAGCAGGCCTCTAAACTCAGCAGATCCTGCACAGCCCTCTAGACCAACATTGCCTCTCACCTGGACCTCTGCAGTAGCCCTGCTGCAGAAGCCCCTGCTGCAGACACCACTCTTCACATTTAGCTCTTCCACTCTTCCCTCACTAAGAAGGAAGGCTGTGTTCTCAAAGCACAAATTAAGACACATCTCTTCTAGGCAAAACACTGCAGTGCTCCTCAACTCTCTCAGAACACGACGCCTTCCCTGACTGGGCTGCACCCTCCTCCTTGAACATGCCAAGGTCTTTTCTCTGGTTTTTCCTCCTGCCTGTAACCCTGCTCCCCACTTACACACAGGGATCAGCTCAAGCTGGTTTCTCTACAATGTCCTCTGACCTGAATTTCTTTTTGGATTGTTTCCATCAAATCAGTGTTCCTTCTGCTCTGCTACTTCCTCTCACGGTTAGTTTGTTGCCACCAATAGCAAGATGGTTGCATTTATTTACTGCCTGTCTGTCCCTCTTTGATATACATCTCCTGGAAGCAAGGGCTGCTTTTGTTCTCCACTGCTGTATTCCATGGATCCAGAATGTTACCAGCCACATAGTGTATACTGATTACCCGTCTGTGAGCTGTATGAAGAAAGTATCCCTTTGATATGGATGTGGTCTACAGGGGTGAAGATGACAGAGGTCAGAGAGAAGAGATGTCACAGAGGAAGAGGCAACTTAAATTACAGGATTGAAAAGAGCGGGGACCCAGACAGTCTGATTTAGTGCCCTCTGGCTCAGCCCTGGCTATGGAGCTCTAGCCTGCAGGGTGTCATGAGATCCAGGTCAGAATGAATTTCTGGACACATATGAGGTAAGGTTCCAGATGTGCTCACAGGCATCTTCAGAAGCAAGGCAGCCCTGAGCCATTGGTTTCAGTGACCATTTTTGCTAACTGTGGTGAAGGGAAACAATGGGAGTGGAGAATGAGAGAGCCAAGAGCCACTCACCTCCTCAGGGAGTGGAAATGGAGACCTTCAGTTTTCTAACTATGCAATACTTCCTCCAACTGTCCGGGTCATCCCAGACACAGACACTGGTTATTTACAAGATGGATAAAACCACTTTCCCTCATGGTCTGGGGGACCTGATGAATAATCATAATTCAGAAGCCAAGCCAGAAAAATGCCTCTGTTGATGAGAAAGTCTGTAATGAGAGACGAGAACAGTTTGCAGAAAAGGATGAGAGAGAAGTTGGGATGTTAGGTCTTGACTACGACTGAGTGGAATGACTTATTCAGATGCCAGTGTGATCTGGAGGTGAGCAAGAACTCCCCTGTCCCACACAAGGTGGTCACCTTTGGGGAAGTTCTTAGTTTCCTCAGTTGCCTGAGGTCGCAGGTAATGCTCAGAGGATGATACGTAGAACATAATAAACTTTCCAGCAGGTGTGGAGTCAGGAAATGATTCTGTTCCAGGAAGTCCAATAAACTGGCATGGAGAGAAGACCTATGGGTAGGTAGAAGAGATGTGGTAGGAAAAAAAAAAAAAAAAACCTGCAGAGAAATCCACTTACAGATTCAAACAGCCTGAGTGTTAGATTTTCAGAAAAGAAAATAGTGAAACAACCAAAAAAGTGACAAGAGACCAAAGACGTGAATTATGAGAAGTCCATGATCAAAGCACTATCTTAATGCATGGTTTCTTCAGAAAGGCATCATCATTCATGAACTGTCCATAAGGGATGTCAACTGGATAAATGTCAGGGTAGCAATGCTGTGACCAGCTTCAGCTCTGTTTTACACTGGAGCACCTGGGGCCTCCAGGTGCCTCTCAGACCACAGGCAGACGCGCTGGCCCTGTACCCATGCCCATGGCCTCATTCCTAGGCCCTCCTGGGCCAGTTTGTGTTGCATGTTAGCCCTTCTAAAGGGTGCAAGAAACTCTTTTCGAGCACTTCCTACCTCTCAAACAGTCTGGTGCTCTTCGTCATCTAAAAGATGCACAGTTGACTGGTTTGGGGATTCCCAGGCCTGGGACTCTAACCTGCCTTTTCAGCACAAGGTTCAGGGTTCAGGCTCCCACCCCCTGAGAAACACCCCAGATGAACTCTTAGATTGCTTTTAAATGCCCATAGGATATGTGGCCTCTGAGACTTCGCCTATACTACTGCCTCTGTCTAACATTCTCTCTCCCACCTCAGTTTGTCCTAAATAAATCCCAAGTCATGAAGCCTCAACAATAGTCAAAAAGTAGGGGGAAAAAAAAAAAAAAAACATTTGCAACAGAGATACCTGATGCCA